TCTGAATTTGCTGATCTCTCGGGATATCAGATCTTATCCAAGCAATGTCTCCTAGAAGCTTTTGGAAATCATGGAGGTTTTTAAAGTGTGATGTTTGTATAGTTACTTTTAGGGATGTTATAGTTTTTTCTCTTAATTGATATCCTAAATACTGATAAGGCTCTGTGACTTGGACCTTCTCAGGAGCTATTTGGAGTTTTGCTCCTTTTAGCAATACTTGGAGCTGGTCATAGCATTTTAAAAGTTCCTCCTTATTGTCTGCAGCTAGTAGGATATCATCCATATAATGGATTACCATTACCCTGTTGCCTCTTTCTGAGAGGCTTTCCCTAAGAGGTGGTATGGCAATATGGACATATGACTGGCACATGGTTGGACTGTTGGCCATGCCTTGAGGCAAGTACTTCCACTGGTACCTCTGGTTTGGTGCTGCATGGTTAATGGCCGGCACTGAAAATTCAAACTTTTCCCTGTCCTTAGGATGTAACGGTATGGTAAATAAGCAATCCTTTGAATCTATAATCAATATGTGCCATGAAGAAGGAATTGCTGCTGGACTAGGAAGTCCTGGTTGCAGCGCTCCCATAGTTACCATACAGTTGTTAACCGCTCTGAGGTCCTGCAAGAGCCTCCATTTTCCTGACTTCTTTTTTTATAACAAAAATGGGAGTGTTCCACGGTGATGTGGTAGGCTCTAGGTGTCCTAATTCTAATTGTTCCTGCACTAATTGTTGAGCTGCCTGGAGTTTTTCTTGGGTGAGGGGCCACTGAGGTACCCAGACAGGCGTGGTTTCTTTCCACGTTATTTTTTGAGGGGGAATTGCCCCTTCTTCAGTGGCCCCGAGCAAAAAGGCTGCTTGTTAGTGAGTACCAGGTTCAATTTGCTAAGTACATCTCTCCCCCATAAATTTAAGGGAAGGTATTCCATCACATATGGTTGGAATTCTCCAGTGGCACCTTCCTCATCCTCCCAGTGCAATATTGTTGCTGACCTGAAAGGTTGTGACAAGTCTCCAACTCCCATAATTGAGGTAGCTGGTCTATCTACAGGCCATTTTTGTGGTCATGAGCCCATAGATATCACAGATACATTTGTCCTGGTGTCTAAAATGCCTTGCATGTACTTTCCTTGAACTTTTAGTCGTTTCATAGGTCTATCTGTTAACGATGCAACCATGAAGGCAGCAGTTCCTGTGGAACCAAACCCCCCTTCCCTTTGTGGTTGCAACACGGGGTTGTTGGTCTTAAACATGGGAAGTAGCACCAGCTGTGCAAGGCGTGTTCCTTCTGGGATTACTGTAATACCCCTGGGGCTGTGTGCTAAGATTTGTATTTCCCCTTTATAGTCTGCATCTATGATGCCTGGGACCACAAATAATCCTTTTAAGGCTGTGCTGCTTCTTCCTAACAGGAGTGTTACACATGTATATGGGAGTGGTCCATATACTCCTGTGCCAATTGGCTGCAGTCCCATGTCTGGGGTTAGAATTACTCTTTGTCTGGAGGAAAGGTCCAAGCCGGCACTGTTTGGGGTGGCTCGGACAAGCTGCTCGATAGATAGTTTGTTCCCTGAGGGTGCCACTGTGGGTTCAGGGATGTCTGGAGTGCCCCGAAAGCTTGTCTGGTTTGTGACGGGCCCCGGGGCTGGGCCCTCTTCCCGTTTCCCGATTGGGTTGAGGTTAGTGGCTTTCCATCTGTATCTGAAGTTGATCTGCATTCTCTAGCCCAATGGGGCCCTTTTCTGCATCGTGGACAGATGCCTGGAGGTTTCTGTCCCGGGCCTCTTCCCTTACATTCCTTTTTAAAATGTCCTGACTTGCCACAGTTATAGCAGTTCCCTTTACCTTGTAGCACGCCAGCTATGGCTAGCCCTATTTGCTGCTCTTCTGTTACATCTCTGCAAAGCCTCAGGTAGTCAGTGATATCTCTATGCTTATGTGGTCTGAGGATATCCTGGCAGGCCTTAATTTCTGCTTGTTGAGCAGAGCAGTGTGGAAATGTCCAGGCTGGCGCTGTGGGGTGTGGCTCGGATGAGCCACTCAATTGACAGCTCAGTGGGGTGGCTCTGGGGCCCAGTAGCTACAACTAAGCTGATGGAAAAACTCGAAGTTGCATTGCCCACTAAGCTTTTAAACGCATAACATTTTTGTCTTGGTTACAAGTTAAGTCACAAGGCAGCTGTGGGTGAAGGATATTTGGGAGGTACCACAGCCTGAGAGCAGTGGTAACCTGACATGTTAAGTGGGCGCTGGGGTACGAGGTAAGTATGAGCACACACAAATTTTTTTTCCTGAAAAACATTTAAATATAATTTATTTTTAAACCATGGAAGGGTAGGCAGGGCGCGGTGGCTCACGCCTATAATCCTAGCACTCTGGGAGGCAGAGGCGGGTGGATAGCTGGAGCGCAAGCGTTTGAGACCAGCCTGAACAAAAGCAGGACCCCGTTTCTACTAAAAAACAGAAAAAAACTAGCCGGGCGCCTGTAGTCCCAGCTACTCGAAAGGCGAAGCAAGAGGATCGCTTGAGTCCAAGAGTTAGAGGTTGCTGCTAGCTATGACGACGCCAGAGACTGTTTCTAAAAATCAAAAAACACACACGGAAGGGCAAAATCTGGTGTCTTTTTAAGTTTCATGTTATTGTCCATAACAATTCGAGGAGGCCGCCATAAACCTGCTCTTCCCCACCACTTCAAAGGTGCCCATCCAGTCCGGGTCACCCGGCTGACTCCCGAGTGCCGTGGCCGCCTGTAAACTAGCGGGAGGAGGGGGGAGGCGCAACTCCGCGCCCCGATGCGGGGAGAGGCGGAGTCACTAGGGCGCGGTGGGTACGGGCCGGAGTGCAGATCCGGCAGCGACTCCGCGACGCTGGGAGTGGGAGCTGGACGCTGTCAGGTAAGGCCCACAGTGCGAGGCGGCCGAGCCCGGGTCTCCGTCCGAGCACCCCGGGCGCAGCGCGGCCCCTCCGCGCGTCGGCCCCGCGCGCCCTGCTGGGCTGGAGACAGAGGCGGAGACGCCCGGGCTGCCTTTGTTCGCTAGGGAGGAAAATCGGGGCACCCCTCTCCGCGGGCTCTGCCTTCCATTCCCTCCGGAGATATCTTCTCCGGCCCCTCACCACCTTCCTTGGGGAGGAAGAAAAGGCCAACTTCCATAATGACGGCCGTTCTTATTTTCTCTGGAGGTCTATATTTGGAATTTTAAAACGCAGAGATCAGGACTGAAATAGACAACTCAAGTACGGTGCGACTGAGCTAATGAGGCAAAAGTCTCAGTCCCCGGAGGCTTATTAAGTCAAAATTTTGAGGACGCACCTGGGAAAAGACACGAAGGGTAGAAAAGCTGTGGCCGTTTTCTTCCGCAGGGCAAGTTGGAACCTTCGCCTTTAAAGGCCTTAAGCGAGGAGGGGAAAGGCAGGGGGCTGAGGCTGGCGAAGCAAAGTGGTTACAGCTTTGTGAGGCCCAAGAAATCTACGCGTAGGTAAAATGGAGGACGGTTAGGAGGGAGAGGCAAGTGAAGGAAGCTTCAATTATGCAGATGTTCCTGGGCAGACCTAGTCTTTTGTTTCTTGTAAGATAAATTTGTAATTTATTATTAGCGTGGAATGGGATAGGCCTTGGTTTTAGGTGCTAGAAATAGGTACAATGTGCATGTCCTTGCTTATGGGAGGTTAGTAAAGAGTTTCCTTAAAGAATGATCTGTGGGGCCAGCTCTTGGCAGGAGCCTGAAGTTTCTCCCTTCTTTGTTGACGTTGTCTGGGTCTCCGGGTTTGTTTTTTAAGTGGTGTTTTGCTTTCAGCTTTAGGGTTGGGCGCACCCTTCCTAGAGACTGGCAGTTTACAGTGATCTGGCGATGTGTAAAGGGGGAGACAAAGAGGGAATTGCCTCACTACAATCATCATTCCTAAAACTTAGTGGTGGTTTCTGTATTTTCACAGTGAAGACTGGAAACTGTTTGCTAAATATCCCATTATGTGGAGTGGCTTGGAAAACAAAACTCAAGTAAAATGAATTTTAGGCTCTGTGCCAGTAGCACAGTGGTTATGGCGCCAGCCACATCCACAAAGGCTGGCAGGTTCAAAACGACCCAAGCCAGCTAAAAACAATGACAGCTGCAACAAAAAATAGCCAGGTGTTGTGGCTGGCGTCTGTAGTCCCAGCTACTTGAGAGGCTGAGGCCAGTGAATTGCTTAAGCTCAGGAGTTTGAGGTTGCTGTGAGCTGTGATGGTACAGCACTCTACCAAGGGTGACATAGTGAGACTGTCTCAAAAATAGAAATGAATTTTAGGATGGGGACGGTGGGTTTCTGATGGCATTCATCTTTGACAGCAGCAGATACGGAGTGCCTTGAAAATTCTGGGCCATCCCTTGAAGACTCCCATCCAGACTGCCACATATGTAACCAAGACCACAAGTGCTTGAAGTTGTCTAAACACAAAGATATGTTTTTATGTATGTCCTATGTCTTTGTGATATATCTTCATTAAACCTTGACTATGCTGGCACAATGGGTTGTGGAGGCCAAGGTGGGAGGATTGCTTGAGGCCTGGAGTTCGAGACCCTGCTTCTACAAAAAATATAAAAATGAGTCAGGTTGTGGTGCACACCTGTAGTCCTAGCTACTTGGGAGGCTGAGGCAGGATGATTGCATAAGCCCAGAACTTTGAGGTTACAGTGAGTCAGGCCACTGCTCTCTAGCCTGGCTACAGAGTGAGATCTTGTCTCACAAATAAAAAAAATAAATCAATATAATTTTGGCTATCCATGGTGTAATCTCACAGGACAGGGCCATGAGTACCTAGTCCAGAGGTTCTCTTTGGAAATTTAGGAATGTGAGGTTTTGGCTCAATTTGCTTCCTCTAAGGGGAAGCACACCCCTTTGTATGTTTAAAGAGATTACAGAGTGTTTTATCCAGGCTGTAGGACCTTGGCAGCTGGTCCTAGGGAGTGGCTTTTCCATTGTGATGATGGTTTGTGTCCACCTGCTTAAGTAATTAGACCTTTAACTGAGTAACTGAGCTCAGTGGCTGCCTCAGCATGCTTGGCTACAACAGGCACTGTGTGTATCTGGAAGGGGACAGACATCCTTAGAGCAAAACCCCAAGGCCCCTAACACAGCCAATACCAGGTACCTTGTGGATTACCAACTCCTGGTAAAGAGAAGCAAGATCCATGCAATGTGGTTTTGCAAGTAACCTATTGCCTTGGGACAGGTAATTTCCTTCCCCTGGGCCTTCACTAATTTCCTTCTTTCTTTCTTTCTTTCTTTCTTTTTTTTTTTTTTTAAAGACATTGGGTTTTATTCTTAGGACACTTCTAGCCTTAAAATTCTTCTTCTAAGGCCCCAGCGTCCCAGGAGCAGTAACTCTCCTAATGGGCATCTGTGAATCTCTTGGAAACACTGCAAATGGCAAATCTCTTCTCCAGTGATCTCAGCTGAATTCACAAGACATCTCCCCACCAGAGAGTTTAAGATAGTTCTGAGCTCAAACCCAGGTTTAGATGCTATTCCACCACTCACCAGTTCAGAGGTTGCTACATTAGTTTTATACTGCTACTGAAACAAATCACCACAAGTACAGCTGCTTCCAACAACGTGCATTTATTAATCTTAACCTTTCCATACATTGAAAGTCTGACACAGGTCTCGCCAGGCTAAAACCAAGATGGCAGGGCTGTGTTCTTTTCTGGAGGCTCTGGGGGAGAATCTGCTTCTTTGCTCATTCTGGCTATTGGCAGTGTTTGTGACTGGAGGACTGAGAGGAGGACCATTCTTAGTTTCCTTAGTTAAGCTGAGATCACGTCCTTAGGTCACCTGTATGTCTTGGCTAAGGGCTTCAAAGTCAGCAATCATAGGCCAGGTGCTGTGTCTCATCCTAGCACTCTGGGAGGCCCAAAGAGGGTAGCATGCCTGAGCTCAGGTGTTCAAGACCAGATTCTGGCTCAAAACACACACACACACACACACACACACAAAACGCACTTGTGAGTTAAGTGTACCTCTTTGAACCTCTTACCTCTTTTTCTATAGGCAAATCTCTTGACAGACTCTGATGTCTTCCCTCCCTTTTTTTTTTCTTTTGCAGTTTTTGGTCAGGGCCGGGTTTGAAACCGCCACCTCCCGCATATGGAGCTGGCACCCTACTCCTTTGAGCCACAGGCACCACCCCCTTCCCCTTCCTCTTTTAATGATCCTGTGATTACATTGGGCCCACTGGAAAATGCAGAAGAATCTCTATAACCATAATCTTCAGCTGCAAAGTCATTTGCCATGGAAGGCTGCCTGTATTCACAGGTTCCAGGAATTAGGATGTGGATGTCTTTGAGGGAGAGGCATTATTCTGCCTGCCACATAAATTGGTTACATAAATTAGTTTTCCTTCTTACCCCTCAGGTTCTTCCTCTTAACGTTTATAATTGGAGGCAGAGATGAGATTTCCCATAGCATTGTCTGAGGAGTAACTCCAATTACTATACACTTAGTATAGGCTCTTGATAGCATTGCTCATCAAATGCAAGTGAAACCTGAAACAAGAATTTGCCTAATGGTTTGCATTCAGTGGCATAATCACATGGGCACTTAGAAGTAGAGCAGCTCCTGAATATTTAATCAAAACTAACAGCTTCTTTTACAGCCCTTTTGGGAGAGACAATTTCAGCTTTTATCTGGAAGTAGCCTGGCCCTTGTGCCAGGTCACTGTAGCCCAGTGGGTCTCAGTGAGGTCCCTAGACCAGCAGACTGGGGAGTGGATAGAAATGCAAATGCTTGGGCCTTGCAGCCAACCTGCTGAATTAATACTTCTAGGGCTGAGGTCTAGCAATCTGTTCACCAACCCTCCAGGCAATTCTGTTGAAGTTTGAGAACCAGTGCTATGGTTCTCTTGTATAATATTTTAATACATTAATTTCATATTTTCTTCCTGCTCCTTAGTTCCAGATTGTAAGATTCTTGAGAGTGGGGCCTTGCCTTGTTCAACAGTCACCCACGCCTGGTATCTAGCGCACACCTGCTCACCGTGGGCTCATATGTTATTGAGACTAAACCTGCTACGTGCAAATAAACACCCACCCCTGAATTCCTTGAATGTTACATCATTAATAATTTTTTTTTTTTTTTTTTTT